TCCACAAGCTAAAGGGCAGAAAATGTCCAAGCTTCTTCCTACCTCTATGCCCTTACCTCTGAGCCATAGAATCCTTTCAGCAGCCGCTGGGGCCCAGGCATCCCAGGAGGCCCGAGGAGGTGGGCCGTGACAGTGCCTTGCTCTGAGCCACCAAGCCCAGCCAGTAGAACCTCATAGTGTAAGTGGCAGTGCATATCCAGGGAGAGCCAGGCATGGCCTGCTGCCTGACTCCTCACAGGAGGCACCACTAGGGCCCCTGCCAGAGGCACAGGCAATCCTGAATCCAAACAGATGAGAGATGGCAGGTGAGGAGAGTGAGCTCTTACTCTCAGCGTTCCCCGTCACAGACTGGGGCTTGGAAGGCTTTGTCCACAAACCTAGGACCCGGTGAACAGCAAGCTTTAGACTCCCCGTGTAACGACAACAGGGAGGCTTGGCGAGCAGCAGCGCCCGAGGTATCCACCTCTCAAGACGCCAGCCAGAACTCAAGAGGAAGAGGACACAGGCTCTGACTCCCTGGCACTATCCCTTAGATGCTTAGGTGGCAGGGCGGAGGGTAGGGAAGGGCGGGCAGGTGGGCCGGAAGCACTCACTGTCATAGCGGGCGCTATGCCCACTGTAGGGCAGGGCAGTCACGTGCCCCCGAAGCTCTCCATCTGGGAAGTCCTTGGTACCAATGTTCAGGAACAGCTCGTTCTGTAGCAGCATATGAGCCCCTCGGGCACCCAGGCCAGAGCAGATACCCACAGCCTAGGGGTCAAAGAAGGGTGAGGCCTCTCAGCTCCCAGATTCCAAGGCCTTTCCATGCCTCCACTACACACATATATCCTGCCTCGAGCCAGTAATGCCGGACGGGAACTTTGCAGGTCAGGTTTCAAGGCCCTCCTCTGCCACTTCCTAGCCCTGTAACAACCCGGCAAGAGCGGCTTATCGTTGAGTCTTTCCTTCCTCACCTATCAAAGGCTACTCTGAAGATCAAAACACGTGAACGAGGCAAGCAGTGCAGCACCTGACACAAATTCTCCAAAGCAGCAATACATCTATTGCACGGTTCGCCTGACTGCTGTCTGACTGTGAGCTTGCTGAGGATAAGGGCAGGGCCCCAGCCCAAGGGTTACTAAAATGTGTCAAGTGGATCAAGGACTCCCTGAGAGAGCCCGTGAGTGTGTGAACAATACTGCGCACCCCTAGTCAACCAACCTGGCTTCCCGCAGCCCATGTATTGGCAGCCCTGGCACAACTCTGCCTGGGGCCCTCACCATGTGTCCTCCCAGCTGGAGTCCAGCCATGTGGCACAGGACAGTGCGCTGGTTCTTCCGCTGAGGCTTGGTCTCCAGTGTCATGGCCACCACCTCGCTACCTGTGCCCACCACTTGCACCTGGTGGGCAGGGTTGGGGGAGGGCAATTGGATTGCCAGCCAAGACCCAGGGCCTTTCCCGCTGCGGGTCAGGGCTCTGCCCTGCTGCCCTCCCTACCTCCTGTGGCTTCTGACTCTTACCTGATAGATCAGGGAGCCATTTCCTAGCAGTATGAAGCTGGCTGAGCCAGCGGCACCCGTCTGGACTGGGATCAGGGCGTCTGCCCCACAAAGGACGCTTTGAAGGACTGCAGGGGGCAAGACAGGTGGCAGCGGGCTTGCCCACACCCAGAACTCCCTCCCGCATCTTCTTTGACCTCTTCTTTAGCACACGCCTGTGCCCCTAAGTCGTGTGCGCCCACAGAGCCGAACCCCGCCCTGCCTCACCATCACAGCTCTGCCTGGTGGTGATGTATCCACTGATGCGTAGCTCTGGCCCACCTGCCCTCTCTAGGGCTATCTGCAGCTCCCCCAGCACCAGCCAGGCCATCTCTTGGTCTGTGAGGCTGGGCAGCACCTCAGCAAAGCCTGGCTCCTGGGAACAGAGCAGAACGTGGTGGGCAGCAGCAAGAGCCCAGAGCAAGTAGCAGCAAGACCCAGGCCTCCCCTTACCTCAGCTGAGGTGTTGGCCTGGAGCTCTCGAAGTGGCTGTCCCTGGTGGAGAATCTGAAGCCTCAGGGGAACCTGAGCTGGGCCTGCAAGGGTGGCACGTGTGAGCATCTCTGGAAGCTGAACTCCCTCCCTATACTCCCACGGGCCGGGCGCCGTCTCACTGCTTACCTTCATTCCTGGGTCCCAGCAGACCCCGGAAGAGCAACAGAAAATGTAAGGAGTCTTCTGTGTCACTGAGGGTGAGCAGGGCTATGCCCCCCACGCCCCGATGCTGTGGTCCTTCCAGAGTAAGGGTGGCACTGAAGGTCTCTGGGGAATGGAGGATGTGACAGCCATCAGAGGATGCTCTTGAGCCCACCCACCCCTGGATATCCGAGAAGGCTCAGCCCTTTCTATCTGGGAACTGCTTACTCCCCCTACCTGCAGCCAGAGCACCTTGCCAAATGAGAGGCCCCCAGACTTCTCCTGAAGGGTGAGTGGGTGTCACCAGGGCTACATGCAGCTGTTCTGCCCGAAGGAGCCTCTGAGACAGCCGAGGCACTGCCCGCCACACCCCACAAACCTACAGCAAAGAGACAAGGAAGCCTACAGTCACTATGCAGGACAAGCCAGGCAAGAGGCCCAGTCCTGGTGAGGGAGGAGTATGGAAGGGAGACCCCAGACCCTCCTAAGAAGGATCCTTGAGTTCAAGTCCTGTCTTACCACTTACTAGCCAAATGACCTTGAACAAATCACATTCTGCTATTCTGAGCCTCAGTTCCCTCCTCTGTAAAATGGGCATCATATTGTCAGGGCCTTTCTCCCACTGGGCTGTTGTGAGAACCAAAGGAGGCAATGCAAAGCCTGCTCTCAGCAAGTGCCCATTTTGGATAAGCACTCCTAAGTGGCATCATCTCACCAGGCCATCCTGGGTGGGGGCAGCAGGGTGTTCAAACAGAATGTTGCCCGTGGGATCTGTGAAGCGAACCCTGCTGGGGCGGTCCAGCCTGTGAAGAAAGGTCCAGTGAGACTGCATCCAGAACCTGCAGGTTCCCCTTTCCTGCCCCCAGTCTCTACTCCTAGCCGCTGCTCTCTCCCCAGTCTCACCGCTGGTAGGAGATAGAGAAGCGAAGACTTGAGCGCAGGAGAGAGACTCGAGCGCGAGCTACCGCCTGCGACCTCGGTCCTGTCAGCAGCGCCACAAAATCTATGCGAAGAGAAGCCGGCCTGAGCACTGTCGACCCTTGCCGCTGGCCCCAAACTCAGTCAGGCTCACTCCACCCCAACCTACCTGTGTGGCCATCAGCACCACGTGTCCGCTCCCCAGTGCCGGGGTCCCCTCGATCGCTGTAACTGCGGTGCTCTGGGTCCCTTGGATACTCGAAGACTAGGCCAGCTGGCTGTCGGTCCAAATTGCTGCGCTCTGCGTCGTGGGTAAGGAGTAAGAAAGACCACTTGCTTCAGCAGGGTACCAGAAGGGTCGGTCCTCCTCCGCGATCCAAGCCGCACAGAACCTCGTGTTGAGCCTTCCACCCTCCCTAACACGGGACACAGCCGGCCTCACCCTGCGGGCAGGTCTGGCAGCAGTGTCCCGGCAGCTGGCGCGGCTGCCTGCAGGCCAGGGTGGGGCACTGGGGTTTGATGTTCTTGCAGCTGACCCTGCCAGGGCCCCTCCCACGGCGAGCCCACTGAGGCTGATGGCAGAGAACACAGGGGAATTAAGTGAGTGTAACGTGCAACCATCAGACGCCAGGGTAAGAACCTCTGCTGGAATCAGTCAGCTCCGCTATTTACAAGTTACATGGCCCTGGACAAGTTTCTCAACTTCTCTAAGTCTGCAAAGTAAGGCTAACAATGCCATTTATCTAGCGAGGTTGTAATGGGAAGGGGGAAGTTGGCCAAAAGCCAGTCACATAGTGGGCGATCAGTAACTGTCACACCGCAGACTTGAAAGGGGTTTCCCCGGATTTGAGGACCAGCCTTCCCCTGAGCATCTCGGAGTCTACTATGGCTTAGGACGCCAGCGTTCCGCTACCCTCCAGGGTAGGGTGGGCAGCTGCGGTATCCACTCACCGCTTCACAGGCGCACAGCACGCAGCGCATCACCCCAAAAGGCTCCCCCAGGTCCGGGTGCCACGTCTCGTCCAAGGCATAGACCTTCCCGCCGAAGGAGCAGCCTGTGGGGACGGGCTTGGCTGGCGGCCGCTGTCCGGTTGCTCGTGCCGTAATGCCTGCTCCGCGCTCTGCCCGCCAGGCCCTGGGTCCCTTGGCATGGTTGCGCCCCGCCGCCTCTGCTTACCCCTCCGGCCCTCCCGCTGCGCCGAGCCACCTGCGCCCGGGGCCCTCTCCCGGTGGGTGCAGACTTGCCCCGAGCCAGACTCCCCGCCCGCGCCTCCCCCCTGGCGCCCACCTACCTGCCGCTCCCCGAACAGGCAGCGGCTCCTTCTCGGGACGGATGGGCAGCGCGGGGGACTCGGAGCCAGTGCCACCGGCCGGCCGCGAGCCGAGGAGCAGCAGCCCGAGGAGCAGCCGCGGGGCCGGCGGGGCCGGGAGGCTCGGCATGACGCGGAGCGGACAGCTGGGGAGGCGGGCGGGAGGAGGGAGCAGGAGAGGGAGTAGGGCCGGACCGGAGGCGGGCCGGCGGGAGGGGGCCGGGGCCAGGAGGGGGGCAGTGGCGAGGGGCTCGTCTCGCAGTCGCGGAGTCCGCTCCCGGCCGGGCGGGGCGGGAGAGCTCGGGCGGCTGGGCGCTGACCCGGGCCGTACGCCGCTGTAGTGCCCTAGGCGCCGGCTCCGGCCCGTTTTATGCCCGCGCCAGGAGTCCCGGCCCGGGGCCTCCTCCTCAGCAAACGGGGCGCGGCGGCAGCTCCGCAAGGAGCCCGGCTGAGCCCGGGGGGTCCGGCCCAGCAGCAGCGGCCGGATCGCGAGAGGGGGAGGGGGCCAGGCTGGGACCCGGCAGGGGAGGAGGGAGGGACTGGAGGAGGGGGGAGCGGAGTGGGCAGGGGGAAGGGAGGAACCAGGGGGCGCAAAGAGGGGGAGGAGAGGCGGGCTTCGGCACCCCCACACACACACTCCTTGCGGCCACCCCTGTGGTATCCATCCCGAGACCGGAGCCTCAGGCTAAGTGAAAGGGCAGAGGCTGGGCCTCCGGCCTGTACCACTCAGGGCAGGATGGGCCTCTGGAGGATGAGGACTTGTCTTTGAGAAGGACACCGATCTTCCCTGCCTAAGACCCACGGCACCCTCCTTCTTTCACGCTGGCTGTATTCCTAGCTCCCCTCTAGGGTCTCTTCTCTTTCTGGAGTTCCCAGGCACAGGGACCAAGACAGAACCAAGAAGTGCTCCCCGCGCCCGGTGGAGTAATAACCTCTGCCTTGTAACCTGTTCACAAGTCCATCCAGCCGTCAGCTGGCTTTCTCGCCCTTTCCCTAAAGGACCACTCTCCCTCTCCTTCGTCCTGCCTCCCTGGGCCTGCCTCCCCATCTCCTCCACCCCACCATCCCAGCACCGGTTTCCTAATCTTAGGAGGCATCTCTTCTGATTGAACTAGAGAATTCCGGGATCCGGGCCACACTCCTTAGTGGACAGCCCATCCTCAGAGCAAGCCAGGAGAGAGCCTGAGGAAGAACAGGGAGAGAGCACAAGGTCAGGAGGTCCCTGAGGGCAGAGACTGCCAGCAGACAGGCACTGAGGAGAAAGCACGGGAGCTAGAGCCAGAGCCCAGGCAAGAAAGAGAAGAGCCAGCAGAGTTGTTTGTGGGGGAGGCTCAGCAGCTGTCTCTCCTAAGACAGGGACAGATGGGCCTGGTTATTTCTCTTGTCACATGTAGGGTGGTAGGAATAGGAGAGGGCCATTGGGCAATCAAGGGCAGGCTTGCACACACAGCTAAGTGGTTAGCTGTCAGGTCTCCATGACCCCTGTGGAAGAAAGGCCTCCAAGTCCAGTCAATCTGTCTGTTTTTCCTTCTTTTTCAGACAGGTTCTCATCATGTTGCCGTGGCTGGCTTGAACTCACTAGGTAGACCAGGCTGGCCTCAAACTCACAGAGATCAGCCTACCTCTGCCTCCTGAGTGCTGGGATTAACGATGTGCCCCGGGCCCAGCGTTAGCCAAACACATACCCCGTCACCCCCCAGCTCCCTCAAACGTTCATGCCTTCTTTCCTATAACATGATCATTCTCTAATAAATGCAACAGCTAAACTGCCAGTGAAGAGGAAAATGCCAGGAGAGCTAAAGTACTGCTGGATTTCCATGGCAGGTATAGCATTCAGGAAAAAGAAATTTGGAGAGCCAGGAACTGAAACTCCATCCATCTAAAGCAGGACTTCTCTTTCCCGTGAACAAATGCATTCTGCCAGATTTCTCCTGGACTAACCCTCCCTCATCCAGATCCCAGATTCTCATGTCTCCTGAGACAGCTCCCCCTAGGTAAGTCCTCTTTGGAGTGTGTGGGTGGAGGAGCTGGGCTTCATTCATGAACCATGGTCCAGGCAGGGGCTCCAGTTCCAGTAGGTAGGAAAAGAGCTCGTCATTTCCGGGGCCTTCACCAGTACTCGGTGGCTCTCAGCCTTCTGATTGGGTGGGAGTGACCTGGGCAGGCTTGTGACCCTACTGCAGAGGAGGGACTGTGACCCAACGAGTGTCTTCCTACCTACCTGCTCCCCAGAGTGCTGCCTGCTGTGCACCTTGGTCCTGGAGCCCTTCTCCACCCGGTGAGTGACAAGCACAGTTTGGGGTTAAGTGAGGGTATGGTATGAAGAACAAAAAAGAACTGGGCTCTTAGCTGGGGGAGGGGCAGGCAAACTGGAACCTACAGGCACTGACCTTTGTCAAGAAGAGGGAGCCTTCCCAGAATGGGAGGAGCGGGACAGAGCCGGGAAAGGGGGTTGGGTACTGGTTTATGAGGGACTATTCACAGACTTGGTTGAATTCAGAATAGTCCTGGCTGCCTCAGGACCATGAGAAAATAAGAAAAGAAGTGCATGTAGGGCTAGAGAACTTTGCGCTAAGGGATATAATCCTAATCCCCATTCTCATATGGTCATTCTTGTTAGCTTAAGGTTCTTTCTGAATCCTGGAGCTGGGGAAACTGGGTCGGGTGAGACAAGGCCCAAGAAGAGGGTAATGGGAGGGGGGCTTGTGTGTGTTGACAGACCTACCGGAGATCCCAGTATTGAATCAGGTGCAGGCCTCTTTGCTCAACTTGTGAAGAGGAGGATCCTAATGCTTCTTCACTCGACTTGTGAAAAGTGGGGGGTCCTATGAAGAACTGAAGGGAGCTGGAGGGGGTGGGGAGGTAGGTGCAGCTGAGAGGAGACATACACTGGCGAGATAAGCCGTGTGGGGTAGGCGGTATTTCGCTCTCAGTGCCTCATCCCTGGCCACTTGCCTCAGGAAGGAAGTCCTAGTGCTGTTAGCCCTTTGATTTGAATAACGGGGCATTTCAGAACTTGGAAGTCCAAAGAAGAGCCCCCGGTTTTATTTGTGGGGCAAATAGGGAAAGGATGGGAAGTTGGTGTACTCCCGGTGCTGGTGCTCCTGCCTCGGACTTCCAACACTATAGCTGTGCTTCCACACAGGAGCCCATCTGCCACTTCCTCTTAGTCCACAGCCATCTTCTACTCTTCTCCAGATTGTCACAACATGTCCCCTTCTCTATTCCCATCCCACCTTCTCACCCACTTACAACAACCTAGGTTGCTGGCGATTCCAGCCCAATTAAGATATATGTGTATATGTCATGTCTTGCTGCTCTCGGTAGGGCAACCATTGGTAGACAGGGCACCAAGACTGCATCAGAGTCACTGAAGAGTCCTGACAAAGACGAGACACTATGTGCTTCAGTCACAAGAAAACATGGGAGCAGTTGGCGTGCTAACAGCCCTGGCCCTGGCTGGCCAGAGGCCCAAGCCTGTTTCCCCATGCCAGTCTCTTCTTCAAAACCTACTGAAAGATTCCCTATTTCTGCCATTTTCAGGATTCCTTGGCCCACCTGTGCCCCACACTACTCTGTGCCCGAGTGCAAAAGTTCAAGCCGCCTCCATGGCCCCAGGAAAGATTCAGGGGAGAGGCCCCATACAGGGAGCCACTCCAGCCAGATACCTTGACCAGAATGGAGCTGACTGGTAAGACAACACTTGGGGAGCTAGGAACAAGTTCAAGAATGGCTTGGCGGGGTAGGAGATGGGGACAATGCTACAGAAGGCTGGGAAACCCAGCACCCCAAGAAAAGAGAACTGACCCCTGGATTTCAGGTCCGGCTCCCAAATGGGAACCCCTGAGTCACCACCTAAGAATAACGTTCCCTTTATCGACCCTTCATCTAAGATTTGCTCCTGGTGGCCATGCTTCTCCTTACTGCGAGAATAACTCTGTCGAGCCCAGCTCCTCCGGCCTGTGACCCCCGACTCCTAAATAAGCTGCTTCGTGACGCCCATATCCTTCACAGCCGACTGGTGAGCACCCCCAAGCCCTCCTACTTTCCCTTCCTCTCGCTCCAGCCTTGTCTTTGGTCCACCACATCTCGGTCCCTCCCTGTCAAGGGCTGTGATTTGCAGTCGGCTCTCAGAAGCTCAAGTATGGGCATGGTACTGAGTGAGACCACGTCAGTCATGGGCCACCATCCTGCTCTCCATTTCAGCTTCCTTTCCTCCTACCCATCTTTCTTAACAGAGTCACTGCCCTGACATCAACCCTTTGTCTACACCTGTCCTGCTGCCTGCTGTGGACTTTAGCCTGGGAGAATGGAAAGCCCAGACGGTAAGAGGCATCCAAGGACTGCTGTCCTCACACAAGCAAGGTAGAGGCTGAGGCAGGGTGCTTGCCTTGAGTCTAAGGTCAGCCTAGGCTGGGCTCCAAAGTGAGACCCCCCATCTCAAAAAAGGGCGGGGAGAAAAAAGAGAAAAATTTCCATCTATCTGTCACTATCAGATCTTTACTGTTCCCTAGAGTCTAAAATTTCACCACCACCCGCTTTGTGTAAATGTGTATAGGTGTTTTGCCTGCATGTTAGGAACTGAACCTGGGTCCTCTGGAAAAGCAGCAAGTGCTCTTAACTACTGAGCCATCTCTCTAGTGTCCTAAAATCTTAACTTCAACTTGGCCACCTTAACCCAACTTACATTCACCTATTGATGAGATCTTGAGGAAATGCTGGCAAATTTCTGACCAATATATCCAATAGGCTGGGCCTGCTGGCTCCCGCACTCAGAAAGCAGTGACAAACAGATGTCTGTGAACTCAAGGCCCGCCAGCATGAGATTCTATCTCAAAATGTGTGCGTGCATGCATGTGTGTACTAACTAGATTTGAAACTGAATACCATAAAAAGCTGGTTAGAAGCCTCTCATGGCTATACCTTTGACCTATTCTTATTCTTGTTCAGTCTTCTTTTTAAATGTATTTATTTATAAATATGGGTGGGGCATGCCATGATCTACATATAGAGGTCAGGGGACATTGTGCAAGAGCCATTCTCTCCTTCTTCCATGTAAATCACAGGGATTAAGTCAGGTCATCAAGCCTAGCCACCAGCACCTTTACCGTGACAGCCATCTTAGTTGGCATGAAGGAAGTTTTATCTGCTGCCCACAGCTGACAGAAAGCAGGAAGTACCAGCCGGGCGGTGGTGGCGCACGCCTTTAATCCCAGCACTCGGGAGGCAGAGGCAGGCGGATCTCTGTGAGTTCGAGGCCAGCCTGGTCTACAGAGCGAGTTCCAGGACAGCCTCCAGAACAATACAGAGAAACCCTGTCTTGAAAAACCAAAAAAGAAAAAAGAAAGCAGAAAGTACCACTAAAATAAAGGCAAAATCAAGATTTAAACTCTTGCTGGACATGGTGACACAAACCAGAAATCCCGGCAGTTCAGAGGGTGGGGGGGAAAGATGAGCTGCAGGCTAGCCCAGGCTATACAGTGAGACCTTGTCCCAAGAAATAAAAGCAAATCAAGCCAGGTGGCACATGCCTGTCCTCCCCAGAGTCCCCTTCTTTTTCAAGTCTCCTAGGGGTCCTGAGTCTGGAGAAGGGTTAGTACTATGGATCACAGCTCTAGCTCCGTGTTCCTAACAGGGTCTCACTATGTATTTCAGGCTGGCCCTTGGACTTGTTATCCTCCTGCCTCGGCCCCACAAGCGCTGTGATTACTGGCACGTGCCATGACACCCAGCTCTGCCATTTGTTAAGTCCCTTCCCGACATCTTCGTGGTTATTATGATAGTCTTGTTGCTACGTTTAGCTTACAAATGCTGTGCTACAATTTTGTAAGAGAAAGAATAGGCTCGCAGCACGGCATCCTAGAGCTAAAAGCTACACTAAGGTATGGGGTGGCTTTCTGACCAAAAGTCCATGCAAGACCAGGCTAGATTGATGGACACTGGAGTTACTGAGGCAGAGGCCAGTGACCAGTTGTTAGGAGACTGCGAAGGAATTCCTGTGAAGGGCGGGACCCTCATCCTGTCCAATTCCCAGCTCCTATGATTCATTCTGCTGGCTACTCCTATGGGCTCCCCACCCATTGCTAGCGCGTTTTTGAAGCAGCTCACTTCTCTCCTCTTTCTCAGGAACAGAGCAAGGCACAGGACATCCTAGGGGCAGTGTCCCTTCTACTGGAGGGAGCGATGGCAGCACGAGGACAGTTGGAACCCTCCTGCCTTTCATCACTCCTGGGACAGCTTTCTGGGCAGGTTCGCCTCCTCTTGGGAGCCCTGCAGGGCCTCCTAGGAACCCAGGTAAGTCTGCAGTCAAAAGACTTCTAGAAACTACTCAGTCCCTCTATAGACCTGGGGGAGACAAGGGATTCTGGGTACTTCAGTGTAGAAAGGCTGGCGTAGAAAGAGCGCTGCCTCCCAGCCGGAACACCTGGCTGCTGGCAATGAACTTTTTCTCCTGAGTCAAAAGAGGCCTGGTATGTGGGCCTGCTGTCTGGCCTCAGGCCCATCCTCTGCCCTCAGCTTCCCCCACAGGGCAGGACCACAGCTCACAAGGATCCCAATGCCATCTTCTTGAGCCTACAACAACTGCTGCGAGGCAAGGTGCGCTTCCTGCTGCTAGTCGAAGGCCCCGCCCTCTGCGTCCGACGGGCCCCGCCCACCACAGCTGCCTCAAGCAACACCTCCCAACTCCTCACACTAAGCAAGCTCCCGAACAGGACTTCTGGACTTTTGGAGACCAACCTCAGTGTCTCAGCCAGAGCTCCCGAGCCTGGGCTTCTGAGCAGGCTTCAAGGACTCAGAACCAAGATTATCCGTGGTCAGCTGAATCAAACCACCAGGTTCCCAGACCAAATCCCTGGATTCCTGAACCGGACACACGGACCTCTGAATGGAACTCAAGGGCTCTTTGCTGCAGCCTCACTTCAGACCCTGGAAGCCCCAGACATTCTGCTGGGAGCTTTGAACAAAGGCCCCCTGCCACTCAACCTCCAAAGTGGACATCCTCCTCCTCCTGCCCGTGGTCCTGATGGACACACACTCTTCCCTCCTTCACCCAACTTATCCACCCCCGTGCCTTCTGTTTCCTGATCCCTCCACCACTGTGCCTACCTCTACCAGCCACCATCCAGTCAGAGCGTACCCTCATTCCCAGAATTTGTCTCAGGAAGCGTAAGGTACACAGGCACAGCTGGCATCTGCCATGCCTCTCAGGCACAAGCCTTCCCCGGAAGAGAGGCAACTGCAGCTGCACTAGACTTCCTGCTTCCCCTGAACCCAAAGCCCTGAAAGAGGGATACACGGGACAACCTATCATAACGTTTTAGAAGCTATTTTTTTAACCTATCAGCTATATTCATCAGAGCAGCTAGTTATCTTTGTTCTATTTTCTGTATAAATTTGAAAATCACGAATTCTCTGTATGTGTTTTCTACAAAGGCCTAGACTGGCCTAACCTTTGAACCCAAGTAGAGATTAACATTGTATCAGAAAACAAAAAGGCAGTTTCCTTTGCTTCAAGTTTAAGCCCCCCAATGCCCTCAATTCCCTTCACTGTAAATCTCAGTGACACTGATCCTCAAGAGATGCCGCTCTTGATGAAGGGAGAGCGAGTTACCTCTTAGAAAGGCTACCCCTATTTAGAGACAAAACTGAGCCTGTAAGAGAATAAATGAGCGCATCCAAAGCCAACTCAAAATCAGGGGAGCAGTGTTCTTCCCTGGGACAACAGCCCTCCTGCACCCTACCTCCCCAGAATGCTAACAGGAAGCCTGGGGAGCTCCACACCCCAGGTAAGGCTCTGCAGCGGGTTTGGTAAAGACTAGACCTGGAGGTGGCAGCTGAGCAAACAGCACATCAGCGGCTCAGCAGGAGCTTAGCCAGGCCTGGGCTCCTGCTTCCCTCCTGTGGAGGTCAGGCGGAAGTGCAGGAAGTGGCAAGAGTCAGGCTCCAGAGCTCACACAGCAGGACAAGCACAGATCGATGGCTCTTTCTACTTTCCACAAAAGCACCTAAAAAGCAGCCTTGTGTGACCACCGAGATGGGAACCCCAAAGGAAGGCAGACACCTGGGGTTTTGCAAGTAAGTGCTTTGTTGGTGCTAGAAGTTTACGTTGCATAAAAACAAAAGGTGTACTGCCAGGTCAACCTGCCTCAACGGTCTGTGAGAAAGCTCCTGGGGGCTTCTTCCTTACTCCTGTCCCTAAGTAAAGGAGGAAAGGCCACCATGTAGGCGGCGGAGAAGGCTCTCAGAGGTCCAAACACTGCCACAAAAAAAGCAAAGGAAAGGTGTTCTTCACAGAGGCAACAGGTGCCCCAGAGTCTGCCCCACAACTCTGTAGGGTGGGTATTATTAGCCATCTGTTTTACACTTGAAGACACCAAGGCCAGATGGGCTTGGTCACACAGCTTTCAGGCAAAAAAAGGACCCCCAGCCTGAGTGGTAATCCATTCATCTAACCCAGCATGGTGCCCTGTCTGATGTGTCCTTCAGCGAGTCTATGCAATGCAAGACTCCACATCCTTGGAGGGTCAATAGGAGAAGACATGTGCTTGTGGTGGGAATGACAATTCAGACATCTGGTGTCCCCATGGGCAGGTGTCTCCGTGGGCAGAACCAGAAGGAATCCACAAATGCACAAAGCAAAAAAATGTTATCAAAATCTCAAGGCACTGTTAGTTTCTACACAGGAGAGTGTTTCATCTACACTAATTCTAGGATCATATAGCATAATTTGTAATTTGTTGTAACAATAAAGAAGGTTAAACTTAACATTTAAAAATAAATTTAGGGCAAGTGAGACAGCTCAGTAGGTTAAAGTGCAAACCTGACACTGAGTTTGATGCCCGGAACCCATGGAAAAGGAAAGAGCCAATTCCCAAAGGTTGTCTTCAGACCTCATTATGCATGTCATCACATGCTGACGCCCACACATGCACGCACACACAAATAAACAAAAATGAAAAGGAAAAAGAAGGTGGCCATGATGGCACATGCCCGTAAACTCACACTTGGAAGGCAGAGACAGGAGGATCAGGAGTTCAAGGCTACCTTCCCCTATATAGGAGTTTGAGTTCAGCCTAGACTAAAAAAGACTGTATCTCAAAAATTAATTTGTATTATGGCAGGGACATAGCTCAGTGGTAGGGCTCTTACCTGGTACACACACAAAGTTCGGGGTTCAATCCTCAGCACAATAAAAACAAAAACAACAAAAGCCACACTCATCAAGCCAAACACTTTACAGCACAGAGGAGCCGGCACCCGGAACAAGATAAGCCAGAGGTCAAAAATGTGGGTTCTCAGCCGTCAGAAGACAAGTGAGGATACTGTGCTGTGACATAGCTAACGTTCCAAGCATCTGATATGGGCTAATCTGAGACACTGGTCTCTACAATGTAAACCAATCTGAAATCTGCCCTCTTAAGACTGACCCTGAAACTAGGTGTGACGGTGCATGCCGGTAATGCCAGCACTTTGTGGGGGTTCAGGCAGGAGTGTCACAAGTTCAAGGTTGTCCTTGGCTATATGACCAGCTGGCATTTCAGACTCTACCTTTAAAACTTTTAAACGTTACCCGAAGAGCCAGCTCAGTGACGTGACACTTGCCGAGTAAGCCTTGGGTTCCACTGCACACCACCAAAACCAAAAGTCTAAATCAAATCCATTCTGTGCAGCTGATTCCATCACTCCCCAACAAGTACACAAAAACTAGAGTGTGCTGGCACGATGCTTCAGTCGCTGAAGGTGACCATCAAGCCTGACCACAGTCCAGTCTCTGCGACCCGCAGGGCAGTGAAAAGGAGCTTCTCAAAGTTACTGTCTCCCTCTCTCACATACAAGGAAGTGTTGAAAGCTTTCCTACTTAAGCCCCCTTTCTTACGCTGGGACACTATCACTATTTCTAATGAGGGTCTCCCACTGCCATCTTACCCATCCTTTTAATTGCTCAAAAACCTGACCATGCTATTAAGATTCAGCCCAACCCCCAATGCGTCACACACACCCTACTGTGGAAAGAAAAAGAGAAAAACCTTTGCTCTTCCCTGCTGAGGCCACTCATTTCCAACTCATTTCCCTAAACACTATTTCTAACACCTCTTGTAAAGACTCAAAAAAAAAAGTCGGGGAAGGAAACACCCCAGGCATCCCAGCAGGGCCACCAGCTCCTGTGACAAACCCAGGGCATCCAGAGACTCAACTGGGGGCCAGCAAAAAAAGGCTCAGTGGGTAAAGGAGTTTGTCCTGACAACCTCAGTGCAATCCCCAGGATCCAGACACAGACACACCAGACACACACACACACACACACACACACACACACACGCAGGGAGGGAGGAGGAGAAGGGAGAGGAGAGAAGGAAAGAGAACGAAAGAGAGATGGAGGGAGATTCCTTTGTAGTACACAAAAGTGCCTTGGTTTTGACACCCAGCATTGCATAAACCACGTGTGATGCAATCCCAGAAACTCAGAAGCCAGTGGCAGGAGGATCAAGTACAAGGCCTGCCTGGGCTCCAAAGCAAAAGCAAAACCCTGGATGTCCCCAGCCCCAATTTAAGAGAAGAGTCTGAAAAAGTAAACTTTAATTAAAAAAAAAATCATACACAACTTGAGATTGATGCTGTGCTTTCCCACTGGGCCTTTTACAGACAAGTCACTTTCCCATTGAACTCAGACAACTAAAGCTGTACCCCGAGTGGACACAGAGCCCAGTCCCTTTCACAGGCCACACTGCCAGCTTCTTCTCAGGTTTGAACAAAGTCCATGACTAAGCAGCAAGGCTGGTTTCCCACGAGGTTTAGAACGCCAGTTTCTTCATCAGCAGATACACTCTGGAGTCCACCTCAAATCCATGCAGGTTGTTGGCATCTCCCTGAAGCCTCATGAGCAGGCCCCCATAGGACACATATGCAGAGCTGAAAGACAAAGTCCTTGGTCCTGAGTCTGAGCTCTCAAGCAGCTGCTTCCCAGCAGCTCTCCATCCATTTTTTAAAGGCGCTCCCCTAGTATTCTGTCATTAGGAACCAAAGACTAGGACAAATCTGAATGCAGACATGCACAAGCAGTGTTCTTTACTCCAGTGGAGGAGTAACCACTGTTATGCCCCAAACAGGAGAGTAGTCACACACATGAAGGTGTCACCATTCACTGCAATGTCATATAGCTATTGGACTACTGAGGTAGGGGCTGGAGAAAAGAATGCAGACCTGGATTCACCACCCTCCAGCACCCACATGGCATCTTACAACCACCTATAACTCAATTTTCAAGATGTCCAATGCCCCCTTCTGACCTTGGTGGTCTCATGCCTGCACATGGTATACATACACACACCCAGGTGCTGTGTACACACAAATAAACAAATACTTTTTCAAAATGTTAAGGAATCAAGATGGCGGCACATGCCTTTAATCCCAGCAGCAGAAGGCAGTCAAGTTCAACACCAGCCTGGGTCTACATAGTGAGTTCCAGGACAGCCCAGGCTACATAGAGAGACCCTGTCTCAAAATAAAATAAAATTGAGGGGAATTTTCACCTGACAAAGGGAAGAATGCAAAACAAAAAGAAGAAAACATTGTAAAGGATCTTAAAGGGAAAAGTAAGCAAAAGGAAAGAAAAAAGACAATTAGGTCACTCAAACTCTTGTTTTTGTTTTCTCAAAATGCAGTCTCACTATATAGCCTTGGCTGTCCTTGCTCTGTAGACCAGGCTGACCTTAAACTCACAGAGATCCGCCTGCCTCTGCTTCCCGAGTGCTGGGATTAAAGATGTGTGACACACTAGCTATTTAAACTGAAAATGTTCCTCTGGGTGACTTTTGTTCTTTTTCACATTACTTCTCTGCTTCAAGATTCTAACAACCATCGGGCGGGGGTGGCGCATGCCTTTAATCCCAGCACTCGGGAGGCAGAGGCAGGCGGATCTCTGTGAGTTCAAGACCAGCCTGGTTCTAACAACCACATTGCTTTAAAACCAATTTTGTTTTGTCTTGTTTTTGTTTTTTGAGACAGGGTTTCTCTATATAGTTTTGGAGCCTGTCCTGAAATTTGCTCTGTAGACGAGGCTAGTCTCAGACTCACAGAGATCCACCTACCTCTGTCTCCTGAGTGCTGGGATTAAAGGTATGCACCACCACTGCCCGGCATTTAAAACCAATTTTAAAGAAAAAGAAAAATTAGGCAGGGAAACCAAAGAACCAAGGGCTGGGTTACAGAGTAGCAACACATACACAAGAACAAAAAGGCCGCCGGGCGTTGGTGGCGCACGCCTTTAATCCCAGCACTCGGGAGGCAGAGGCAGGCGAATCTCTGTGAGTTCGAGACCAGCCTGGACTACCAAGCGAGTTCCAGGACAGCCTCCAAAGCCACAGAGAAACCCTGTCTCGGGAAAAAAAAAAAAAAAAAAAAAAGAACAAAAAGGCCTAGTCACAAAGGCTGCCTGTGATTCCCCCAGGAAGATGCTCTCTGTTGTCCCTCATGAAGCATGAGTACCAGAGTCTCCTGTGGACCACAGGGCCTTGAAAGCCTGATAGCAGGTGATGCAAGTAACCAATATTCACACTAGAAACTGTTCCCAAGACAAATTCTTCCTCCCAAAAAAATTAACCCGACGCAGAGGTAGAAGCATGACCAGTTTTACAACAGGGAGGGCGGGGGTTCCCAGACAAAGGACTTACAGGCGCGTCGCTGCTTCGGTTGAGGTCTCGTCCCCCTCGATCCTGTACACTTTCCCATACATGACATACTCAAACTGGTCAGCCCTACAAACAAGGCAAAGTCATTCTTCACAGCAATCAATAATGCCAGACACATTTAAAATGGAAACTGAGGCAGGCATGGTGGCTCGATCCCAGCACTCGAGAGGCAGAGGCAGGTGGATCTCTGCGAGTTTGCTGCCAGCCTGATCTACTGAGCAAGTTCCAGGACAGTCATGGTCACACAAAGAAACCCTGTCTTGAAAAACCAAAAAGATAAAAATAAAAAAAAAGAATTAAAGTAGAGACTGATAACAAGAAACGTCATAGAAGTGGCTCTCCCATCAATTCAGGGAACCAGACATGACTGTATTTTACTGATGAGGAAATGGGAGCTGAGAGCAGTGGAGCTGAGAAGTAAAAATCCAGTATGTAACCATGGCTGTCCTAACTGCCTATGTAAACCAGGCTGGCCTCAAACTCACAGAGGACTCCTGTCTCTGCCTCCCGAGTGCTGGGATTAAGTGTGTGTACCACCAGGCCCAATACTCCAGTCTTTCTACCACACCAAGCTCCCTCCCAAAAATCTAGGTTACTATTTAATCATTTTCTAGGCCTTAAAAAAGTTACACTTGGAGCCAGGCGTTGGTGGCGCACGCCTTTAATCCCAGCACTTGGGAGGCAGAGGCAGAGGCAGGCGGATCTCTGTGAGTTCGAGGCCAGCCTGGTCTACAAGAGCTAGTTCCAGGACAGCCTCCAAAGCCACAGAGAAACCCTGTCTCGAAAAACCAAAAAAAAAAAAAAAAAGCTACACTTGCAGGGTGTGGTGGTACATACCATTAAGTCCAACACTGAGGAGGCAGAGGATGTCATCTGTGAGTTCGAGACCAGCTCAGTCTACATGGTCCAGGCCAAACAGGACTACAAAGAGAGACCCTGTCTCAGATAAATAAACAACTGCAGCTCAGCCAGGCGTTGGTGGCACACACCTTTAATCCCAGCACTTGGGAGGCAGAGGCAGGTGGACCTCTGTGAATTCAAGACCACCCTGGTCTACAGAGCGGGTTCCAGGACAGGCTCCAAAACAACAGAGAAACCCTGTCTTGAAAAAAACAAAAAAAAAAAAAAAAAAAACTGCAGCTCACAAGCTTCCACTCACTACTCTCAGTAAGTAGTCAAGCCCACTGTTTGAAACTTTTTTTCAAATTTTTTAGAGACAGGGTCTCTTGGAGCCCAGGCTGGTCTCAGACTTGATGTGAAGCCGAAGGCGGTATTGAACTCCTGATCCTCCTGCCTCATCTCCCGAGTCCTGGAATTACAGACACAAACCCTCATACCCAGTTCTGGCTGTATGAATTCTAAGTGCAGCAACGTCTTTTCCCAGCAGTAGATAAAGACCTTTCTATGCACTACTTATCTATTTAGCTAGTCCCTCCTCTACCACTGCCTCACCTGGAAGGCCTGTCATCCGTGGGGTTATATTCACCATCATCCAAGGTACCATCTTCATACAAAGTACTAGCTATGACCAGTCGGAACTTGTCACCTGGAAAGAGCATCATCACCAGGATGAAGAAGCAGAGACCAAAGACAAAAATCACTTGCTACTACCTGTGTTCGATACTTACCCAAGTCCACGGGGTAAATCTGAATGTTCACGTCTAAGATGAGGTCCATCTTGAAAGATTCACTCTCACAGTGCAGCCGAGATACTGGGAAGAGCGACAGACATAATTACAGGCGACAGGGTGGGGGTCGAATGCAAGAGACCAACTCTTCCAACAGGTCCACAACCACTAGCCTTGCTCTGGGAAACAGACGCACAAGTGCTGTCCAAACCAGATTCAGAGAAGGAAGGAAGTAAAAACCTCGGCAGGTGACAGGATCCCAAGAAAGAAGCAACACTTCTCTGGCAGCAACCAGTCTCCAGGCTCTAAGCACACCTACATGATTTAGACTAAAGTCAACTCTGAGCGAGATAGTCACTTGTCCAGAGATCCCCTCTTCCCGGTAGGCACTCTGTGGAGGGAGTCGGCAGAGTAAATTGACAACTGACACCTGTCTTAAAAAAAAGTCGAGGGGGTCACACCTTTCATCCCAGCACTTGGGAGGCAGAGGCAGGTGGACCTCTGTGAGTTCAAGGCCAGCCTGGACTACACAGTGAGTTCCAGGACAGTCAGAGCTAGAGAGTCTCTGTTTTGGGGAAGAAAAAAAAAAAAATCGTCTCCAGGTAAAGTGACACTAAGAAGAAACAACTTCCGGATCCCTGGGAAATTAATACACCAAGCTGTCAGCTGAAGGAAATTCACATAGGGCTCGGCAAAGAGCTAACAGTTCTTGGGGCAATACAAAACTATCGGCTAGGAAGAAGGAAGGCAACCCGCTGCACGGCCTTAAGTAACAAAATAGATCAGACACCATCTACCTCTTACTATAATAGTTAGGTGTGCGAGAGAGGCGCACAGTACAGCGCGCAATACAGAATAGGGGGTCAGAAAGGGGTCAAGGGCCACCCAGACACCAGACACCGCAAACGTAACAGGCAAAGCTGTCTCAAGTTTCTCATTGTGAAAAAAATCGTTTCCTGAGGGAGGTACCGGGAGGGTGGGACGGGCCACTGGGGTGGGTGGGCATGTTGGCCTCTTCCCTTGCCTCCCCTACACACCTTACCTCGGTCAAATTTCTTGCCTTCTGGGTCAATGTCCTTCACATCAAAAATATCCTCGAACAGGATGCCCGCCATGGTAAGGGGCACGAGAGCTGCAGAGGTGTGGAGCGCGCGGCCACCACTGGGAATTCGCGCACCCCTCACGTGGAGAAAAGAAGACAGGGCAGAGTACCGCCCCAAAAGCGGCGGCGAGCCGGAGGGCGCATGCGCACAGGCTTCAGCAAGGCAGCCACTTCCGCTGCCTCCCCCCTCGGGGCTTCTGAACTTCCGCCGGGAAGAGCCACCTCGGAGCCGCTCGGACCTTGTGGGCGAGTCTCAAAGCGCGGTGACTCCGCCCAAGGCGGGGACAGACTAAGCCCCACCCCCGGCGGGTACCGCGCTGCGCCCGGCTCCACGGCGCCCTCTTCAGACCTCGGATCCCGAAGCTTGGAAAGCTTGGGGGCCTAACCCAGCCGGGAACCTTGATCCTTGGCCCAGAGGAGCCCGGCCCTAGCCCTTCCCTGCGGTCCGCGTGCCCGCCGAGGGCACAGTCCGTGCTGCCGGCTGGTGAAGGCGAACTCCACCCGCAGAGCGCCCGCCCAGCGGGACGCAGCGCCCAGCCCCTCAGACTGTCACCAAGGTTCCCCACGCTGGTCCGAGCTGGCTCTGACCAGCTAGACGTCACCCGAGCCGGGTCCGTCCGGTTTGGGAATTTGCCGTGATGTCACTGTCAGGGAAAGGAAAGCCCGCGTTGTGCCCTCCCCTGGGGCTTCACCTGCTCGCCGCTCCGGTCTTCCCTTGGCCCTGCTTGGCACTAGCCTCACACTCTGATCCCCTAGAGCACTGCCAACTGAACTTGGTACTGCCTGTCACCCCACTACACTACCCTCTTCTGGACACTGATCTAGTGCGCTTTCGCCCCACATTGGCCTCTCACTGGGAGACCACAGCTTGCGGTGCCCTCTCCTTTCTTTGCAGCCCCCGTACGCTCCCCTTGGGCACCCTCTGCTTCCTGAGTGGGTCTTCATCCTGGTACTGTTCTTTCTACTTCGATTTCTGGACATCGTCCTCTCCAGCGGCACCAACCTAACGCTGCCCATCCTCTCTGTGCCCACGCCACACTGTTCTTATCTTTCCAAGGACCCCGAAAGACAACGGAGAGCTCCAGTGGGCCGCTTCCTCGAGGCGTCAGCAGCTGCTCAAGTTCCCCCTTTAAGCGATGCCTGGGAGGAGCGACCTCTGCTCCCCCCCCCCACACCCGCCTCCCAGGAGCCGCCTCCCCCGCACCAATAGCTCCCTTCCCTCGGGCCTCACCCCTTCCCGTCCCCTCCCACCTCCACCTCCGCCCCTCTCTCCAGGCCTGGCAGTTCCAGGTGCACCTTCCCGGGGGAACCCGGAGGAAAAGAAGAAGAAAGGAGGAAGGGGGGGCGATAAGGGAGTGGGCTCTCAGGGATCGTCCCAGACCCGTCTGAGCCGCCTGCAAACGCGAGGCAGAGGCTGCCCCAGTCGGGTCTGGCCTGGAGAGGCCGAGGTAGCCTTTTCGGCAGCCCCCTGCCCCAGCCCCAGAGTCACTACATCCTCAGCCCCTCCCGCACAAGCGCTGCAGCGGCCGGAGAGCCCGTCCCCTCCACGTGCCAGCGGACCCGCCCCCGCCCGGCCCCGCACCCTCTCGGGGCCGGATCAGCCCCCTGCCTCCCAAGAGAAGGGGTGCAAGATCGCGTTGCAAGCGCCCCCTGCCGCCTCTCCGGAGACCAGGAGGCGGCTCCAATGCAGACCCCAGCCCGACCGGACGCCCCTGCAGATGGGCCAGGGCGGAGCAGCAAGCAGGGCACCGCCCTCGGCCCGCCCGCCAAGGAGGGGACGCTAGCGAGAGGCTGAGCCTGCGGCGCGCGCCCGGGGACCCGTCGCACTCTGCACTCGGCCGCCGGGGCTAAGGGGACGGGACGGGTGCGGGCGCGGGCGCGGGCTCAGCCGGCCGGGAGCTGAGTCAAGGCCAGAGCCCGAGAAGCCAAGGGAGGCGAGAGGACAGTGTACCGAGATGGCGGCCGCCACGGCCACGGCGGCGGCGGCGGGGGAAGGGATGGAGCCTCGGGCGCTGCAGTATGAGCAGACCCTGGTAAGTGAAACCTAAGGGGTGCGCTATGGCACCACTGCTGCAGGTTGCCCTAGGAAGTGTGAGGACAGGCCGCCTACCCAAGCCCGGCCCCAACCTTCCTCAGCTGTGAAAACTGAGGTTCGGGATCCGACTGGCTGTAGGTTCAGGGTGTTGGAAAGCCGCTTGCTGGTCCCTGGCTGAGGCTGGTGGCCTGGAGAGGACAATGACACCAGGTGTTTGGCCCAGGTGTCCTTCCCCTTTCTCCCTTCGGCATACACGATTTTGTTTTTTCCGCTTACCACTCGAGTCCAAGTTACAGCACCCCAGTACCTTTCTCAATACCTGCGAACTTTCTCCACATGCCTATCCACATTCAACACCCTCCCTGTGTCCCTTCTATGGCATGGCACTAAGCTGGGCAATAAGACTGTAGGGAAGTAGTCAAATGCAAACCTACCCCCTACCTTTAAAGGTTCAAAGTCTAGCATTGACAAGAACCCCTCAGCTCAGTCGAACTTTTGGGAAAGGTGGCTTGTCACCCTGGGGACTGAAGCTTGAGGGTTGATGTGGGAAGCAGGAATGGGTGCGAGAACTGGAACCTTTGTTCTAGCTGGATCTAGGCAGGTGCCCCACCACCACCACCACCCACGCCCATGGAGTGTCCCTTGACCTCATAAGAAGCAGGGGTCCTGAGCTTTGAGATGATTCATGACAACCACTGTTAAGAAGCCATTCACCCTCATGTCACTAGGGTGGGGGGCCCAAGCCCTACGGAAAGAAACTGGCCCTATGGCTCCGTTTTATCAGCCCAGACTGGAATTTGCCCTGGAGGGTGTCGGGGAGGAACCTCCTTAGAGGGCCTGGATTGTAACTGAGTCAGGGAGGTGCCCAATTAGCAGGATGACTGGGAGAGGTGGTAGGTATGACGCCCTTTTGTTGGCCGTGGCTGTTATCCTTGCCATCCACAGGTCAAGGAGAGGGGCATTTGGCCGTGGCAGCCAGGCTCCTAACCTCTGAAATGGTATCTCTTTCGCACCAGCCTCCACTCCAGCTCCCTGTGTCTGTGAAATGAGTTCTCAGGGTCAGGCTCTCCCTGCTCTGGCCTCTCCCACTTCCCCTCCTACCCTTTTGTCTTGCTCTCACCTCCTCCCACCTGCTGGGTTTCTGCCTCTTCCTCCTCCCTACTCTCTGGCCGTGCCCCCTCTTTGCTCTGTAGTTCCTTCTGCTTCCCCCTGTCCTCTGTCTCACCCGCGCTGCGACTCTATTCCCCCCCCCACACACAAACCCCAACCCCAACAGGAGCCCTTTGTGTCTTGAAGCTCCGCGGGTGGCAGCCAGAATCTACTCCTCCCCACCCCCCAACACACGCCCAGCTTGGCAGGTCCAGCCATAACTCTTCCCATCAGCCTCGTATCCACAGTCACAGCCTTGCCATCTGCAGCCTCTACTGTCCCCCGACCTGTCACTGGCCCCAAGTGCAGTCCCAGAGTCGTACTGAAATCACCCAACACTGCCCTCCCCACCCAAAGAGGCTTTCCACTTTCGGCTAGGCTGCCGGGCTAATGGGGGTTTGGGAGGGGGAGGATGAGGACAAGGGGATTAGGGTGGGTGGGAAGGGTGCCACTGAGTCGGTCACAGGCCACAGGCCCAGCAGGAACGTGATAAGGATTGGGGCTGGGACCTCCTAGGCCTGGCCCGGCGCTCTCAGCTCCTCCAGCCTCTTACTGTTCTTACTGTTGCTCATGCGCCCTTGACCATCCCGTAGTCTCTGACCTTTCCCGCCTCCCACTTCAGACTGTGCCCTAGGTTTCCCATCTTTTCCCCCTCTGGACCCTTCCCTCTCCTCCCCATGCCCGCCCTCCTGGCTTGCTAGCAGAGGACTGATTATTCTGCCACCCCCAGAGTTGTGTCCCTGTACCTTGTCTGTCCCCATCACTCCGGCCAGGACAGCCCCCGCAGTCTGCAGTGTGCATTGTTCCCACACCCTGGGAGCTGGATTCAAGATGGGGTACACAGTGTAGGAGCTGAGCGAAGGGGGGTCAGAACCCAGGAACCCTCCCTGTATCCCCAACTCAGTCACACACGCTAATGCCACGTTTTGTCTATTGCTGCAGATGTATGGCCGGTACACCCAGGAACTCGGGGCCTTTGCAAAAGAGGAAGCTGCTCGGATTCGCCTGGGAGGGCCTGAGCCCTGGAAGGGGTCCCCTTCTGCCCGGGCTCCCCCAGAGCTCCTGGAATATGGACAGAGCCGATGTGCCCGATGCCGCAGTGAGACCTGGCTGTTCTGTACTGGGGGAGGCCCTGGGGATGGGGAGAGACTAAGAGCGCCAGCTCTTTGGTACCAGCTTCTCTATAGGTTTTCCCTTCCCTGCCTCCAGTTTGCTCTGTACGCTGCCACAAGTTCCTAGTGTCCAGGGTTGGCGAAGACTGGATCTTCCTGGTCCTGTTGGGGCTCCTCATGGCATTGGTCAGCTGGGCCATGGACTATGCCATCGCGGTCTGTCTACAGGGTGAGGGCAAAGGCTGGGAAGGGCCAACCTGTTTCCTCCGCGCCACAAGTTGTTTAAGTCACTTGGCCACTGGCCACTTTCTCTGGCCAGGCTGACTGCCCATCTCCAGTTACTGCCACTCGCTTAGGCCACACCTTCTTGCCTGCCCTCCAACTGTCTTATCTACGATGGGCTTTGTCCCAGTGAATGCCTCCTAGGGCCTTCCCGTCCCTCTGTGCCCCAGACCTGTACACTTGTCATAGCAGTGTGTCCCAGTGGATACGTGCACCGGAAGTCCAGCAAGCATGTCCTGTACCCACAGCTCAGCAATGGATGTCCCGGGGCTTAAACACCAGCATCTTACTCCAGTACCTGGCTTGGGTGACCTACCCTGTCGTCCTCATCACTTTCTCTGCTGGATTCACCCAGATCCTGGCCCCACAGGCTGTCGGTAGGATAGGAGGGGTTGAGGGCGACTCAAGCTTCCTGGATGGGGTGTGTCAGACAACTCCCCTGGGTATGTACCTCTACAGGATCTGGCATCCCTGAGATGAAAACCATCCTTCGGGGAGTGGTGCTCAAAGAATACCTCACCCTCAAGACCTTTGTAGCTAAGGTCATTGGGCTAACTTGTGCCCTAGGCAGTGGGATGCCCCTTGGCAAAGAGGTAATTGCAGGTTGGGGGATGAAGGAGCCCCTCCCATAGAAGAAAAGGCCAGGCAAGGTCTGGAGGGCCCGGTCCCTACTCACAGCCACCCCCTACCTCCAGGGGCCCTTCGTTCACATTGCCAGCATGTGCGCCGCCCTTCTCAGCAAGTTCCTCTCCCTCTTTGGGGGTATCTATGAGGTAAGAGGAGAATCCTAAGATCTGGGGGGACAGGCCTGCTGCTGAGCCCAAACTGACTCTGTGCCCCACCCTTGCCAGAATGAATCCCGGAACACAGAGATGCTGGCTGCTGCGTGTGCAGTAGGAGTGGGCTGCTGCTTTGCAGCGCCTATCGGAGGTAGGCGTGGCTCCCATCAGCATAGCTTAGCCCCACCTTTGGCCTTGCTTCCTCAACCCTTCTCCTGGGAGTAAGTCCTCTGAAGGCCAGACTCTGGCCTCAAGGGCGATGTCCTCTGCCCCTTGCAGGGGTCCTATTCAGCATTGAGGTCACCTCCACCTTCTTCGCTGTTAGGAACTACTGGCGGGGTTTCTTTGCGGCCACCTTCAGTGCCTTCATCTTTCGGGTCTTGGCAGTCTGGAATCGTGACGAAGGTGGGGATGCTGGGGGCGGTGAGGTCATCTGAGGTGATCCAAGTGAAACCCAAGTTTACCTGCCACCCTGTACTTCTTGCCTTCAGAAACCATCACTGCTCTCTTCAAAACCCGGTTCCGACTCGACTTCCCCTTTGACCTACAGGAGCTGCCGGCCTTTGCTGTCATTGGGTAAGGAGCTTGCACAAGAGTGTGGGATAGCCAGGTTTCCATGAGAGGACCTCCCCTCTGCCATGGAACTTCTTTCTTCTCCAGTATTGCTAGTGGCTTCGGGGGAGCCCTCTTTGTCTACCTGAACCGGAAGATTGTCCAGGTGATGCGGAAGCAGAAAACCATCAACCGATTCCTCATGAGGAAGTACGT